TCTTGTACGCTATCCCAAAGTCCATGTAGCTACCGAGGTATTTAAATTGATTTATGCGTTCTATCGGATATAAAAGGCATATGCCTTAGGAATGAGTAGTAGAATTTGATCAATGTAACGATTTCCAGTCTAATTTGTTTATGTATAAAGTAAATATATATTTTCATTTGAATTTGAAACATGATATCTTATGTCTATCTTTATGCACTATTGCTGCTAGAAAGTTTCGCATTTTTAATGCAATTAGTTTGGCGTTATTTATCATTGTGGCAGTCACGACGGTTAGATATTGACTAGCTTAAAAAAGATGGATATCGGCACTGTTACAGCCAGACACTTACATTAGCACTGAAACTATTAGAGTTCATATAACACGTAACTAATTTGAATATTTGTATATGTTATGCAGGTTGAAACATCAAACAATAAAAAAAATGACTCATAGGAAATGAAACTATTTTTTCTGATCTAAATCGTGTACATTTGTTTTTTCAAAAAAACTAACGTTTCGGGCCTTTTATAGGTCCCATGGTCATGGATGACTGGTCTTGTTGTCCCATGGTATTAAATAATTTCACTTCCTGTGTGTAACAATCGTGAAAACCGAAGAATTTATATCGACAAACAAAAGACGCATAACATTCCCGACACAAAAAAATATTATGAGTATGTAATCATGCACCCAATGTATAGCATAAACAAATAAATTAATGACAAATCCGAACGGTCCCTGATGCATTCATTTAAATAAAAATTAACAATATAAATATAAAATCTGCCTATGTGGCCGAACGGTTACCATGCCGGTTTGCAGATGTCCCAGGTTCGATTCCTGGGCCGGCCGGGAGAAATATTTGTATGGCCTACATTTAGTTATCTCGTGAGTTTGGGTGTCATTTGTGGTTGTCTATGTGTGTCCATGGCACCCGCGACGCAGGGTTTCCCTAGTGCGGTGCTATGTTGAGTGTGTCAGTTATTTATTCATTTCAAATTATTATGTTCTTTAGAAAAAAAAACTGACTCATAAGTTTGTGGAATTACATCTATTTGCCAAATTCTATTGTAATCTGTTAATAGAAAGATTCATATCCTAATTTTCACTCTTAGAAGTAGAATATTTTCCTCAAATTTGAATACGACCTCTACTGAGATACACCCTTTCCAACAAAAAAGAAATCGGTTCACACATATCGTAGTAATCAATCACGTAACATACGTATAAAATAAAGTAGTCGAATTGAGAACCTCCTTTTTTTAAAGTCTGTTAAAAACGATATCTAGTACTTCAAATAATAGTTGACATTATTTTACATCATGTCTTTGTGCATCTTTTATTCTTGCCATAAATACACTTCAGAGAGTTAACAAATAAGTATTCGTTAGGAGATTTGAGTTTATTGATAAATTTAGTCTCGACTATAACAAATCTAGTTGTCCACGAAAAGAGTTTTTGTCGCTTCTAAATAACAATACGAGAGGCATAAAACATTCGACGTTTATTATAATTTAGTGGCTCTAATAAATAAAGATTTCAAGCCCAAAAACGACCGCCGGGGTTGCATGCATTACATTTCGCGTTCTATTGTGTTTTGCCGTACATTCTTTTTTGCACCTCTTCCGAATACATTTGCAATCTTCACTGATTGACGCTTTTTGCGATAACGTTGATTGTCGTCTCTTTGTGAAGGATTTTGTCCAGGGAAGTATTGTCACCTTAGCTATTTTTGCTGCCAAGCAGTAATGTGAGCATTACTGCGTTCCAGTTTGAAGGGTAAGGGTGTTCGCGAAATTACAGACACATGGGACTTGTCAACTTATGTCTCAGGGTGACGGGCGCGGTGGCAGTGCCCCTAAACGCTTTGCGATTTAAAGCTCTGCGTAGCACTGCAACTGTTATGTATAGGCGTGTCGCTTACCGCCAGGCTCAGGACTTGTTTGTCCCGTCATTTGGTATTATGTAAAAATGAAGATAATCCGAAAAAAAAAAGATTACAAAAGTTTATGAAAGTTAACGAATTTTTTACATTTTATCTTTTTCATGATAGAGCTTCATAAAAGTTTAGTTGTTCGAAATCTAAAGAGGATTTAATTAATTCTTTTTCAAATTAAACGTTGCGGTATGTGGCCACTTTATAGCGATTTTTGAATATTATTTCTGGATCTAAAATCGCACTACGGAAATCCTGATTCGCTGGTGCCATATACATACACACAGATAACCAAAAATTACACTCAAACTCACGAGAGAAATAAACGTTGGCCATACAAATATCTCTCCCGGCCTGGGAATCGTACCCGGGACTTCTATGTGACAGACCAGCATTTTAACCGTTCGACGGTGTACAACAGCTGCCTTGTGTTTGGTTCATATGGTTCGTTTTGACGTGGATTTGTATATGCGTTTCAATTATCATTGAGGAGATCTATTATAGTTTAAGGTATACATAATAATTGAAATATAATAATAATATTGTCAAATTTAAGTAAGTATCCTTACGTATGTCGTTCCGTGATCTCACTTAGGGTCCTAACTGAAAATCTGTGGTAAACGCATTGCAAACACCGAATTACCCTTACTGACACTTTGTTACTGCAGCAGGCATAAAAGTATCTTTTATACTTAGCGTTCTTGTTTATGTGAACAGCCTGTGTTTTAATTTAATTCTTTGTTTCGTTTTGTGATTTTTTTGTAATTATTTATTTCTGTTTTACGTTTCAATGTTTTGATTGTTTTTTTTTTTTTTCTGGTTTAGGTATTTCGTTTTTATTCTTTTGTGGTAAAGAAATAAGCTTATCTTCTTGCTTTCTTTTTTTTATTAAATTGTAAGTAGAAATATCATTATTTTATTTTAGTTATTTTGTTATTTCAGGGGGAGGTATTATCCGCTTTAGATGATTCACCTGAAATTTACTTAAATATACCTACTTTATCTTTTCCGATCTCTGTTTATTACAGATTAGTTATTAACTTACGTTCATTTTGTGAATTCAGGTATGTCTTCAAAATAAATAAAAAAGTATTTCTCGGAAAATAAATGTAAACTGACATCTACTCACATAACTGGAATATTCCCTCGTTCCGACACAAAATAAAAAGGGAATAATCAGTCGGGGGTTGCAATGGGCGGGGCCAGGTGTCAGACACAGGCTGCAGATCTTATCTAGAGACGTATGGTAACAAAACCACCCTGTATTGTGGGGTGGGTAAATGAGATTTTTAGTCTTGCTTACGATTGATAAAAAACTATACATACTATAATTATTACCAGGTTTATACTCTTTCTTTGATCTTGCTTTCTTTGGTAAATGAAAAATGTTCGAGTAAGTTACATTTTGGTTTGGTTTCTCAAGATTGTTGTAATATGGACACAACTGTAAAATGACAAGTTTTCAGGAGAGGTTTTTAGATTCTACAAACTAAATTAGTTGATAACATTTTTATGCTTTAATAGTAGAGTAGTATTATAACATTTCGCATATACGTAATTTTGTAGCAGTACAGCTCTTTGTGAAAGAGTACGTCCAGGGAAATACTGCCACAATACCTATTTCTGTAGCCAAACAGTAATTACAGCATTACTGTGTTCCGGATTTGAAGGGTAAGGGTGCTGGTGAAATTACAGGCACATGGGACTTGTCAACTTGTGTCCAGGATGATGAAGCGCAGTGGTAGTACTTCTCAGATCTTTGCGATTTATTGCTCTGCGTGGCACTGCAACTGTTATGGATAGGCGTGTTACTTACCACCAGGCGCACGACTTGTTTGTCCCGTCACTTGGTTACATAAAAAAACATTTCATGTTTTTCATAATATTTTTATCATTTTCATGTAATAAAAGCACTTTTGACATATGATCACTTATGGCTATATTATAACGAAGGGTAAGAATTATTACCTACCAGCCCATGAGCACACACAGCGAGAGCACAGTCTGCTCAGACGCATTAACTTAGTCGGCCAATTATCCCAGTGGCCTACGTTGAGATCGACCCACTCGTACCTCAGCCAGCGCAATATGTTAACATATTTTTTAATTTCTCCTCCAGACAGTTAAAGAGGCAATCGCGAGTGCATGCGCAGGAGTGAGATTTATAATAAGAAAACGCTCCTACCGCGCATGCACCATAAGGATCTATAAATCTTTAAAGTACTCGATCGGCCAATCCCTGTTGAGAAACGATAAATCATCCCCGTGGACAGTAAAGTCGAATCGAGTGACCGCCGTCTCTCTCGCACTCATGGATCCTTACGCTGAGTACATCATTTATCATTTCTTTCTCTCGCTCTTTCCCAATGATAAATTCAATTCTCTTTTAGAATATGATTGTTCCTCGTTTTGTTGTGGTGTTTTATTGTGGGTATCGTCACGGAGTTAGGTTTTTTGAACTGAATCCGATCGAAATGATCGCGAGAATTGGATTTTCATTTTAGATTTCTTGCATCAAGTGATCAATCTTTCAACCTTCGAATTTGGAATGAGGACTTTTGTTTACGATTTTGATCTCGAGAAAAAAATTAATACGTCCATTTAGTATACGAGTTTGAGTAAACGTGCATATAAGCCTCCATTAAATTAATGATTCTTTAGTTGTGTGTACATCTTGGGTTCTTTTGTAGTGTTTTATTTTTCATTCTTTAATCATTAAAATTGCTACATAAGCTTTAGCGTTTAAAGTAGGTATGAGCGGCACTGTAAACATAAAACACATGTGTCGAGAAGTCAAATACGATTTTTCTTTATTTTAATTCTTTCGCTATTTTACACGGCTGTAGAAAAGACAATCAACAAATTCATCTTAAAATAACTTAAAATACATCGTGCTCTTCAGTCATTTATATTATAATATACATACATATAGATAATATATATATATAAGTACAATTTTATGTTCTCTCCCAAATGTCACTCCGTGAAAAAATATTTATTACATTATTTAAAATATATAGTCAGTTAGACATAGTTCAGAATTATATAGCTTATTTTAATATCAACGACACAGACAAAAATGTACAATAAAATCAATCCCTTACATCTATTATCACTGGGCATTTTTTCTTATAATATTTTTACATGAAATTATTTATTCTAAAATTAAAAATTTACAAGAATTTTACAACCTATAAATTGTAATTTTATTGGACTTCGGTGCTTTGGCCATGCAGATCATTTAATTTTATTTTTACAAGATTTGTGTTAGAGCTTACTTGTCCTGAATAAACAAAACCATCACTTACCTATAAAACGGAAACTGTTAAACCCGTAAATAGACATGTTTTTACACTTATTCGATAAATATTGTTAAAACCATTGGAATACAATAATGGATTCAAAAAGTTTGTCGAAAATCAAAGAAACCATCAAATAAGGGTGTATTCAATTACGGTGTTAGGAATCCTATTAACAATGCAACTGTTTGTAAATTTTTGCTTACTCTACATAAAGGCTGTCATAAATCTCTGTCAACAATGCAATTGACAAAAATCTTCAATGAATAAAGTGTCCCATCCCAAGAGTGACAAAAGTTCTAACTGACAATGCTCAGGACAGAAATGCATAGTCAAAAATAAAGATTTTTCACGAAGATTGTTTTTAGAAAAATACAGCATGTTGTAAAGCATTCAACTGGTGGTTGCTTGTTCATTGTTTACAAGTTGTTTAAAGCAAACAAGTTGTCACGAGACCCTACCATTAAATAATTACACAATTCTTTCAATAACTCTTTACTTACAGTCAGTAGAATTCAATATCAATAAAACTCTCGGACGGCTGAAGTCTGCAGATTCACTGGTCGGATTCTATGGACTTTTAAATTTACTAAGCGTAATGCAACATGGAATATTCTGTAGCGCTATAGTGAACTTTTCATTCCACGGTATAAAAATTTCACTGACTTTTTAATTAACAGTTTGCACAGTTTTTAAGCTAGCACAATTGTTCCCGTGAAGACGCGTTCCTACTTAGCATTGACAGTCGGCTAATCGTCGAATGAAGAGTTCCCTAAGCGCGGTGTGGTCAATATGCAGCGGCGGCACCGGAGTGGTGCATCAAGTGATGGTGGTGGTAGCTTTCCTGTGTGGGGCACCACCAGTCCGGCACCCCGTGTGGTACCGTCGGCGCCGGTTGTTGGAATTGTGTCCAATGCCCACCAAAACCAATTTTGTTGTCCATCACACCGTTCCCACCGATATTTGTTAGATGCGGTTGATGTTGGTGATGTGGAGGATGTCTTTCATAGGATTTTTGGTCGTGAGGGTTTAGGTATTTGTCATTTAAACTTTCGAGTTTGTCCGTGATCGAGGGGTGATGATGCGGGTTGTGTATGGGCGCCGGCGCAGGTGGTGGCGGTGGTATAGGGGCCGAGGGGCTTGCGGCGCCGGCCGTGACGCTGACACTGCCAGCCGAGGAGGAGTCGTCGCCATCGCTGTCGTATCGAGGCGAGGCATCTCCGGCGGCGCCGTGCACCTTCATGTGTTTTCGCAGCGACGACGGGTGTGTGTATGATTTGTCACATCCATGCACTCGGCAGTTATACGGCTTGTCCGATGTGTGTACATGTGAGTGTTTCTTTCTATCCGAGGAGTTTGCAAACCTTCGGTCACAACCCGCATATTCGCATTTGAATGGTTTCTCACCTGTAACAAAATAAAGGAATTAAGTTTGAAATTCTCAAACGTTGGCAAAGCCAGAATGCTGGGATCTGTAAAGGTACCAATGTACTAACGCTATAAATCTCATATGAACCGGGATACCACAAAATATTTCAATCCTCGTCGACAATAATCCTGACATTGCGACATCTCGTGAATATTTCAGTGAACATTCGTTCCGTTGGTCTACGAGCAAAAAAGGCCGACCGTTGTACGCGTATGTCCAATCACGCCATAAATAACCAGATTTGCTCGTTGTTTATAGTTTACGAGGACAAATAAATTCAACAACAATTGCACGGGATACTTAACATGGCCATAAATCATCTTTATAAGACAACTTTGTCACAGTGCCGTAACAAAGGCCAGCTATCGAACAATCATGGTAAACTGGACTCTAAACACAGGACTTTGGGCTTAATTTAGGTGGAGTTAATGTTGTAATTTTGATGCGTTTGTCACAGAATGGAGGGCAATACCCATTCTCCTTTGATACACCTGACGATTAAGGTCCACAATCAGCGTAATCCTCGAAAATGACGATATCATTAGACCTATGAAGATGATTGTAACATTTGAATGCTTTACCTAATATTGGCATTGCTGAAATAACTATGGCGTATGGCGTATTGCGGGTTGGATTCATAGAGATGGGAAAAACTGCTTATAAATTTTAAACGTTAAAACCTACTTTTTTAAATAAGAGTGCTTATAAAAAAAAATTTCTCTTAAACGCTTTTTAGTTTGTAGCACAAATTAAAGACATAATACTTGAAGCTTACAAAATCATTTAGAGGAACGTTTAAGCCCATAGACTTTATGTTAAAAAAGCTTGCAATATTGTGTTGACAGCGAAAAGCGAGAATAGGCCACCAAAGTTTTTCAGATGAATAAGTTTATTTGTTTACAAACGTGTTTTAACACGAGTTGTATTTTTATTTCTAACATTATTAATCACGTTTACAAATTAATTTGTTTAGGAAACATAGATGGCGGGACTAAAAAATGAAATTGTTGAGTGTTGAAGTGAGCAATACTTAGAATTAAAAATTGTAAGTGTGCTTTAGTGCTTATATTAAAAAGCAAACTCTTTAAAGTGCTTTTCGTTTAAACGGCCACCTCTATGGATTTATTAAAAAAATTCTGTACAAACAATAACGCTATAACAAAAATTATAACTCTACAAACGAATTGCTTGATTGTAGACCGATTTATTTTTGAAGGAAGCATTTTTTTCTTAGCTTCTTTGATAAGTTCATGCTCCCATAACCACACATTCATACGTTTATTCTTCACATGTTTACCGAATCGTGTTGAGAATAACATTGTATAAAACACATTACAAGTAGACACGGCTAGTGTGACTGAATCACACAATGCGCTACTCTTTGTCGTGTTTACAAATAAACCTCTTCGCCCATAATCTCCTGCATTGTGTTTGAAACTTGAAGATCGCGTTGAGGAGGCACAGATGCTAATCTCAAGTGTCTGTTAACGCACCAATAATAGGGCTCTTTACATTCTCATACCGCAACTCCTGTTACTGTATCGAAAATGCTCAATGAACGAATCACATTCGACGGCTTATTTTGAATGGAACGATACTTCCTTTCAAACCCGCGATGCGGCTTAAAAATATTTTCGCATTATACTCTATCATTCTCCGGATACAAAAGTATGCACACAAATATTCCTTTTATTTCGTATTGGAAGATATAATGATCGTATCAGAGACTATAAACGTCCCATAAAACAGCGAACTTGAAATAAAGGATATACAGAAAGTCATGGGTCTCATTTCGATGTGAACATTAAAAATGTCTGGGTACGGGCTAATGAGGTAACAAGATAAAAAGAGTTCGAAACATGTGTCGCCCGTCTAATTACTAATCGGGCATCTCATCTCGGTCGTGGCCGCCACACAAAAAAGGATCAACGACAAATTCTATTAGAATGTGATGCGTTATCTGCGCACGCGCCGGTGGAATATACATTTGATGAACTCCTTTCATATAATTATGACACTAATGGAAATAAATCAACGGCTTCGAAAATGTAGGATGTTCTGTTTCTACGTGTCGATTAAGAATCATAAAGTTTACTGTTTATAACTTATATTAAAAATAAATTGTAATTTAGAAATCGACCAAAATTCATAATAAATTTATATCATAACCAAGTATTAGAAGCAACAATTTATTTTGTAAAAAATAAAGCAGAGAGAACACAGACAGAGAATGCGCGTCGTGAATTCGTCGCATGCCACTCGGGACGTGGGGTCAGATGTTTATCTTAAACGGCTGTATCACCCACCGGAGACACTTTTTTTTTGATGTTATTATCGACTCTACATTATCTATTGATTGTTTTCCCAAAGGGGCTTGATGAGGACTGATTGCCTCTTTGTTGTGAACGACCATAATATCACAAATTATGCAATCGTCGTGCTTATACAGAACTATGCGGTTGAAGAAGACTGCTTTAGTAGTGTTTGTGTTGAACAATCTCAGAGGTATTTAATAGCACAATTAATTGGTCTATGACAAGGGGTTTGCCTGTAGGTACCATGAGCATTAGAGTAGCGGAATTTATTCCGGTGCACAATCCAGAACGCGAGGTCTTAATACAAGTCCCTTACTCCCCGGCCTCTGCAATAATGTTACTATATTCCATTAGTAAAATAAATCTGCACTTGAAAACGTCATTTTTTAAGCTACTACTCATTCACTGTGTTGACTTCCCTAAGATGAGCAAGTGTTGCTCTTTTCGAATAAACTTTAACTTAAATGCCATGGAATACACTTTGAATCAAATTTGAGTGGAATCTAGAGCAATGTCCAGAGCTGCCTTTTCATACATATTTATCTAACACGTAGTCATCAATTTTGTAATACGAGTTGGCAATTAAAATATTTTTAATGTAAGTTTTGAACAGGAAATGATTATCTTAATATACTTATGCTTCGGAAACTTATTGTAAAAACGTATACAGTCCCCCATAAAATCGTCGTACCACGAATTTGGACTTAGTTCTAATGTTATTATTATGGATATGTTGTTTCTTAATGAAATTACGCATATTTTTATGTGCGTATAAAATGTTTGAGGAAATGTACTGTGATGCCAGTGCCCTAACGATATACAATTAGGTTATGGAATGAGCTCCCTGTCGGGATTTTCCCGCAGGAATACAGCATGGAGTCCTTCAAAAGGGGTTTCAGAAGGGCTCTAAAGGGTCTGCAACGCGCTCGTGACGCCCGGTGTTGCAGACATTCATAGGCGACGGTAACCGCTTTCTATCAGGGCCGTGTGCTTGTTTGCTGCCTACGTAATATAAAAAAAAAATCAAAATTTCCTTGGATTTATATTCTTGGTAAAAATAATAACAAAATTAAACTTTAATTTGATTCAGTTCGGTTTATATAAGACGGCCGCTGTAGTAAACAACGCGTCTACATTTGGCACATCGCCTAGCTCGGTTTTGGGTTACAAATCGCTACTTAAGTGCGCTCCGCTGAGAAAACAAGCTTTTTAGAAATAACACGACTGATGTGAAACCTGACTCTTGCGGCCTTTGCTCCCAAATTGTGTAAATGGTTAGGTGCGTTTAGAGAAAAAACAATCGTAGGTTACTGGGTATCTGATGACAGGACACCGAATGCCAAGAAAATACTATTTATTAGGCTCTTAAAAAACTGTAAAATTGTAAACGCTGCCGGATTTCTGGATAATGTGTGCGGGATTGTCATCGCCTTGAATAACTATTTGATATTTGATACCTTGTGCACCTGTTCATAAATATATGGTATTTTTATTTGATTGCCTAAGATGAATTAGGTATATTACGTAATAGTTATGATATATTTCATTTAAATTATTACTTATGCAAACTCTAATCCTAAACATTCTCTGAGTAGCATAATTTCTCTCACTTAAACGAACCGCAATGTTCAATGTGGAATTTTGCATAATTTTCAGTTGACCAAGTCGCATGTTTCTTTATGTTACTTTAACTGCCTTCAAAAGGTTACCATACTGGACTGCCACGCAGAGGTCCCTGGTTCGATTCCCGGACCGAGAGAAATATTTGTATGGCTTATATTTATTTCTCTCGTGAGTTTGGGTGTAATTTGTAGTTGTCTATGTGAGTGTCCATGGCACCCGCGATAAAGGGTTACCCTAGTGCGGGACTATGGGTCGTATTCTAGAACTCTACTCAATGCTCAATTCAGGATTTGAGTATGGTTTAAAGCACGCGAAATCATACTCAAGTACCTGGCATTAGGGTCGTATTTCCAGTGCTTGTGTTTCCATTGCAATCCTGACTTGAGCATTAAGTAGAGTTCTAGAATACGACTCTTAGAGTGTGTGCGCGTTCTTGTTATTTCTTTTTGCTTCATATTTCTTTATTCTAACAATACATATAGAGATTTAACTTTCAATTTACTCTATAAAATAAAGTCAAAACACTTTATCAGGCTAGACTGGACCTAGCAAAGTAAAGTTTCTCATTTCATCAATTTTGTAAATTGCATTGATAAAACAGGTCGTATAGACGTTACTTTGAGGAAGTCAATATTTCTAAAAGTAGAATTAAATTACCTTACTATATAGCTATTTATTTTAGGTTCGTGGAATAGTGTTAAGACTTCTGTTTTGCCCTCTCGTTAGAACTAACACAGACCACATAAATTCTTTCTTCCGTGATAACTAACGTAATCGATATTTTAATGAAAGTGAGTCATTAACATATCTGGGATCAAAGAAAACGAGATCTACAACCCATATAAGCGGCTTTTTTATATCTTAGTTAGTTTCAGTTTTATTGTTAAGCAAAATCAGCGTAATTGACATTTTTCAAAGAAAAAAACTTTAGGTGCCAATATCGCGAAAGTTACCAAAATGCAAATGCGTTAGTCTTGACAAGAAGGGCAGTAATATTTCTCACCCCTCATGGAACAATGGTTTGTGCCTTTACTTCTTCC